TTGCCAGGCAGGTGATTAGACCATGGAGCTATCTCCCCATCCCTGATTAGTTCTAGTTCACTCTAGAGGTAGCCCTCTGAAGACTGAACTATTTGTGTGCGTGTGTGTGTGTGTGTGTGTGTGTGTGTGTGCGTGCGTGTGTGGAATTCCTAGATGACACACCTCTTTGGGCAGGCCCTGGGCTTCACTTCAAGAACCTGGGCTTGAATACCTATCTTTAGAGTTAGCTATTTCAACACATCACTGCAAGGCAGAGCTCTAAGTAATTTTCCTTTCACTCAGTTAACTTCTATATTCACTCACCCCCTGGCTTGCATATTCCTTACTTTTGTTAGTTCACAGCTACATTTAAAATACTGATTTTTTAGGGCTGGGGAGATAGCTCAGTGCCATAAGTGGGCAAGTGCAAGGTCCTGAGTTCAATACCTGGTACCAAAAAAAAAAAAAAAAAAAGAGTAATACTCTGGGCCAGGGATATAGCTCAGTGGCTTAAGCACCTACCTGGGTGGGGACAAGGTCCTGAGTTTGATCCCTGGAACCCCACACACACACAAAAAGATTTTTATATTTTACCTTTTAGTTATTTTCAGTTGGCATTAGTAGGTACTTCATTTACCATGTTGTCAGAAATTATATTATTCATTCATATACATATATATATATATATATATACACACACACATACACACACACACTCACACACACACACACGATCCTGCTTACAGAGATTTAAGATCTCTCCATCTATGTTCCTAAGTTAACAGAGCTCTCATTTTATTTTCTTATATTCATTTTGCATTAGAGTAATATTACTTTTGTAAAATGAGTTGGACAGTGGCCTCTTTTCTCATCTTCTAAAACAGCCTGCACATGATAGGGATCACTGGCTCTTCACAAGTTTCAAAAAACAGATCTGTAAAACCACCTGGCCCTGATGTCCTTTGGCACAGTTGGGAGAGTGTAGATATCTACCTGATCAGTGGTTCAGATCTTTAAGCCTACTGACTTATTTAGATTTTCTATTTCTTCTTGAATTGATTTTGATACATTTTCCTAGAAAAACTAAAGTTTTCAAATTGATTGACATCCAATCACAACATACTGTTAAAATCTCTATGGTATCTATAGTTCTAGCTCTTTTGCATTCACAATATTATTCTTTCTTTATCAATATTTAAAGGCTTTGTCCATTTGGCTACTTTTTTCATTTTTCTATTATTTTTAAGTTTTCTATAAAACTTATCTTCTTACTTTTCTTTCCTTAGGTTTTCTTTGGAATCCTTCTTCTGGCTTTTTGAGCTGAACTTAATTCATTTATTTTCAGTCTTATTATATAAAGACATAACAAATAGACCACTTCAGTAGTGTCCTACAAATTCTAACAAATTCTTTGTACTGTAGCTCCAAACATTTTTTAATTTCCAATGTGGTTTCTTCTTCAATCTGTGAGTTACTTAGAAGAGCATTTTTTAAAAGTTCACCAGGACATTAAAAATGCTTTTATTTCACCCGCTTTGAGGATGGACAATGTATCTATATATATATATATATCCTTCCAAAATAGTTGAGTCTTCCTTTGTGATCTAGCATGCAGTCAATTCTTGAAAATGTTCCATGTACACTTGAAAGGAGAATGTTTCCTAATCCGCAAGTGTAAGGTTCTTTTCATCTATTAGACAAAGTTTGCATTTGGTTTTCAAAAGTTTTGCATTCTTATTTTTTATCTGCTCAATTTATCAGTTTTTGGCAGAATTGATTTTAAATCTCTCTCTAGAATCAGATTTACTGATCACTTTCTCTCCCTCCCTCCTCTCTTTGTCCTTTTCCTTTCTCTCTCCCCTAGTTTCCTTTCCTCTTTTCCAGTAATGAGCACTGACCCCAAACCTTCACACTGAACTACATCCCCAGCTCTTTTATAATCTGTTAGTTTGTGACAGGGTCTTACTTAAAGTCACCCAGGCTGGGCTTGAACTTGTGATCAGTCTCCCAAAGTACAGGGATCACAGACATGCACCACCATGCCCAGCTTATTGATTTTCCTTTAAATATGTTTTAAGGTTTTATGTTTTGGCTTTATAGAATTTATATAATTATGGCTATGCTGTTAGATGCCCAGTTCAAAATGGTTTTATTGTCTTTAATATTTTTATGTTGTGATTACTAGTCTCTATCTGTTAACACATCCCTAAATTCTACTTTTTCAGTAACCACGTAACAGTTTACCCTGAGTGTCACTTGGGCAGAATGCTTATATACTGACTGTCCTAAGAGTTGCTCAGGCAGGTGTCACATTAACCAGTGATTCTTTTATTGAATAAATTTGATAAAATTTTTTTTTACGTGGAATGACTTGCTATATCTTACTCTACCTTTCTCTCTTTATATTAAAGCCTCCTGGATAGTGTTATTTAAGTGGGTCTCCTGTAAGCAGCACATAGTTGGATTTTTCATCTATCCAGTAGTCCATTTAGAATATTCACATTTACGATGAAAGCCAATTATGTAGCTTTATGAGTATGATTTAAACTATGGTGAATATTTAAAGTTTAAAAAATTATTACAATAAAAGACACATTACCCTTAATTCCCCTCAAAATACTTCCCCTTGCTTCATTGTTCTTGCCACTTTTTAAAGCAGTTCTAGAACATCTCTTTCATGATTATCATTAAAAGGTATAATAAAATATATGGTTAATACTGCTGCTGAATGTCATTATACTGAAAATGTAGGCTCACATTACAATGTTTCCTCATCCACATTATTCAAAGGGTCTTGTACTATTAGACTTCTGGTTTTTCCCAAATGTCAAAATGACCATGAGAGGTAAGCATTTTGAATCAATTGAGGATATGAAGGGTGCCATGGCAGGACACTTGAGAGGCTCCTAAAAGAGAAGCCTAGAACTGCTGCAGAAAGTAGCAAAAGTGATATGGTAAGTGTGTTTGAAGCCAAGGTGAGTATTCTGAAGGGGATTAATGGCAATGCATCTTCTATTACAATCTTTGTTTTTAAAATTTGAACTCACCATGTTTTTCAGTCATACCTCATATTGGTACCATATTATTCCCCCTTTCTTTCCTTCCCTCTCTGGTACAGGGGACTGAGCTGGGACTTCCACCCTGAGCTACAGCTCAAGTCCTCTGTTTTTATTTTAAGGCAGGCAACTTGAGCCTCTCAAGTTGTCGCATTACATCACTAAATTCCCCAGGTGGGCTTAAAATTTCAATCCTCCTGCTTCAATCTCCCATAGCCCTGGGCTTACAGACATGGGTTATCATACCCAGCTGCACTTTCTAAATCTACTGTTTTACCTTTGCTCCCTATCCCCAACCTAAATTGTCTATATTCTTTTGTTTGCCCTACTCCTTCTCTCCCTCATGCCTCATCCCTTCAAATTAGGGAGCTGCTACAAAGAGTGCTGGGCTCACTGCTACTTTATAGCTTATAACCTTTACCTACTTGGAAACAAAATTCTTATTTCTCCATTGGTGTGTGCCTGACCAGAATTAAAAAAAAAAAAAAAAAGACCCAGAACCCAATGAAAAAGAAAATAAAACAAAAAACCCAAAATGTTTTCCAGCTACCTTGGTACCTACACGCAAGGGGACACAGATGAGGCCTGAGTGAGACTTCTAGGAGGCCTTCTGGAAGGGAAGTTCCAGCTGCCATCTTCACTGAAGGAAGGATGCCAAGCACAAGAGCTGTGTAGCAGAACTCCGGAAGGACTAGAAACACTGTGGCAGCTGCTGCAGTTGGGATGCCTCCTATACTTCATCTATGGGACTGAGTCATACACTTCTTTCTTGTATGACTCTTGTGTAGGTCAGCTTTTGAGGATCTCTTTCACTAGCAGTTAAACATAATTCCTGATACAGAACTTATAGAAGGTTCTAGAATTTTAATTTTTGAAAAAAGAACATTTACCAAATTTAGAAAAAAAAACAATGTTCTTTATTCTAGTTCATTAAATATATTTCACCTACGAATTCAGTGTTCAGCTTTTTTTGGGCCACATGACTTCCTTCTAGGTTCTTCCCTCCTTACTGCAAGAAACAGGTTGGAGGGGACACAGAGAGAAGAGTTACAGCAGTAAGGAGTCCTAGTGGTATTTCAGCCTCCAGTCCCTGTGTCCTTCTGGACATTTGATTACGCAAGCCAACAAACCATGCTTATTTGCTGTCACTTGAGGCCAAAGAATCTTGATAAAAGAAACAGAAAGCTACTGAACAGATGTGCTCTTGTGGCATTTTCCTAATTTATCCACAGTGAAGTAACAGTATATATTTAAATTTAAATTCTTAGGAAATTGATTTTTTTAAAAAAGATAATAAATTAGAAGAAAATACACAGGAAAAGCACCAGAAGAGAAAGATAAAAATGAAGGAACTAAAAATAATGAGTCCCAGAATGCTTCCTAATTTATCAAACTTGTCAACAGCAGCCGTTAAGAGTAGAAATCTGTTCTTTAAGGAAAAAATTAAAAAGAAAGATAGAAATAAAGAGAAACCCAGACTTAGTTTATCAAGCAGTATAAGAATAAAAAGCAGAGAAAATTATCAATAATATATCTTTATATTTCAAGTAATTAAAACAGTCTAATAATACTTAACATACTAACTTCTTGTTAAAATTCCCTCTGGCCATTTAATATTTAAGCACAGAATAGAAGGTATGTTACTACATTTTAATTCATGATTTTTTTTCCTTTTTGCCATGCCCTGTTTTCTTCATAGGGCTGAAGTTCATTTTGCCAGGCATAGGATACCTTACTTAAATCTTAAATAACATTAACATTTCTTCCATGATCATGACAATAGAATAAAAGACTCAAATGGAAGAAAGGCTTTGGGATACAAACAATTATCTCACTCAGTTTTTAAAAACAGGAGTAAAGATTTCCTTACAACTAAAAATAATCACCTAAAAAGCAAATCATAAATACATTCCTTATGTATGGAATCTATAATTAAAACAGGTATTTAGAAAAGAAAATAATTACCTTCGATGCAAGATTGTCCACTAGAGCAATCATGGAATTCTTGAACAAGGTGGCAGCGGTCAGGGGGCGCTTGGTCACCTCGGTAATGCTTAGTTTACCTTCAGGCCACATATTCTTCAGCACAGGATTTGAACTGAGACGTACAGGAGAGCAATGTTAATGTTGCATTCAAATAAGTTGAATAAAAATGGCTAAGTAATCCTGCTGAACTGTATCCTGGAAGTCACAACTGGGCTGAACTTAGAAGACCTAATTGGAGAAGTTATTCCACCCAGAAAATTATGCTGACATAATGATGGATACTGCACTACAAAATTTCCCAAAAGACAGCACATTTAAAAATCCTTTAAACTTTTTAAAAGTGGCATCTATACTACCTTGAAACTAAACCAGTGTCTAACATGGCTCTTACAAGATATATGGAAAACGGGGCCGGGGAGATGGCTCAGTGGAATAAGTGCTTCCCTGGCAAGCACAAGGGTCTCAGTTCAATCCTCGGTTCCGCCAAAAAAAATAAAAAATAAAAAATAAAAAAAATATATGGAAAACTAATTGACTTTGTAGTGGTTGGATAAAGCACTAGTTGGACACTGATTTTTAATATCATGGCAGAAAACATTACTGAAAGAAATACTCAGAACAGGTAACACTACAAAGGCAGCTCTCTAAAAATACAGATAAGGAATATAAAGTAACCATTTTTACACTGCCTTCCAGCAGATTCCTTCCCTGCAGGTGAATTTATGAACACATTTACAGACAGTACTGGCAGTTACAGTATCTTATTGATGTGACACCAGGACTGTTGCAATCCAATTCTAAAACTGTGCTTCAGGCCAACTTGCATCTAAAAACATGTATTCACTGTTTGGCTCTGTGGAGATATTTTTAAAAACATGTGGTGATCTCAACTGTGATTTTGTTCTTGTTTCATTTTAGGTGCTTTTTATTTTAAAATAATTGGAACTTAAAATGTCGCCTGGTTCCTGGAAACTCTCCTCTTGTCATAAACATTTTTCTTAAAAATTTGAGGGCTGAAAAAAGAAAAGAATATGGGTGTTGGTTTCTAACTATGCTTATAACTGCTATCATTTTGCCCACTTTTTCTTCGCCTGCATAAAATTGAGAAAATGGAGTTGGTTCCCTAAAGCACCCAGTAAATTTCTACTACACAGGTGCTCCAAATAACAGCTGCAAAAGGAAAGAATGGTGGACAAGAGAACGAAGGTGATTGGTGATATATTGATGGGGTCTGTGAATGTAGGCAGAGCAACACTCCTGCCCCTCACTGTCATTGCAGGGATCTACGGCTTGTGGATCTACTTTATAGTCCTAGTCCGTAACTTCCAATTGTGTATCTGTATCAATAAAAATGGCCATATAAACACATATTGTTTTTTCCTTTAGCTTTTTTTTCTGTTTGTTTGTTTTGAAATAGGGTCTCAAAGGCTGGCCTTTGAACTCACTATGTAGCCCAGGCTGGCCTTGAACTCTCAGCAGTCCTTTTGCCTCAGCCTCCTGAGTGCTGGGATTACAGGCATCTACCACCAAATCCATCCATCCAATAACTTTCCATTTTTATTTTTAACAAAGAGATAATTTAAGGTCATGTTTCTTTACTTCTAGGGCACACAGTGCCTGGATCATTTTAGAGCACCTACTGAACAGAATTTCCAGAACGTTTAAAGTCACCCTTTGTGTACTTGGAAAATTCTAACATATGCTAAAGGATTAAGGCTTTAGGCCTAGGCTGTATCTACTACTTTTTTTTTTTTTTTTTTTAATCTTTTGAGACAAGGTTCTACTAGGTAGTTCAGGCTGGAATTATAGCCATGTGCCTCCTGGTCAAGCCCCAAATTCTTCACCTTACTATTGGCCATATTTAGATATTCTCATACTATGACTGTAAATGGAAGAAGGGGAAAGTTAAAAATAAAGGAGATAAAGCCATATATTAAAATAGAGCTGATGCATAAGGAATCCAAACAGATTCACAAAGTTATTTTACAAGGATGCACTTTCAAGCCATGAAGCCATGAATGTAACTAATATTAACAAAATATTTTCAGGCATTTAAAATACCAGTACCCTTTTCTTAAAAGCACATAATGAGAAACCCAGTTTGTATACAAGGTTTAAGACAGATCTGTCCCCATCCGTATATGCACATATATGCACACACATACAGAACTAGAGATCGAGGATCACATTCATTAACACATACAAACCAAACTAGAGTCATAATTAGGGGGTTGGTCCGCTACTAAAGCATCAGAATGTGTAGAGAAAAGACAGCTCTCAATTTCTGTCTCAGTGTGCCCCAGGGGTGGGGCCCACACAGCAGGCCATCTAAATATCATCTAGGCAGATGGGTTTAACTGAAAAGATGTCAAGACTTACCATCTTACAGGCAAGGGTTTCCCCATGGTGGAGACACAGGCAATTAGTTGCAGTTGACAGACTTGCAATCTTTTTACCCCTTTGGCAAGACCAGCCCCATTGTAAAATGGATTCCCTTAGCCTGATGTTTTTAATTGCTAGATTTATCTAAGCTCCTTTGTTCTGACTCTATGCTTACCCAGCAACTAAGCAGCCCGGATTCCATGGATAAGATTTTTCTCTGTCAATTAATAAATGAGACTTCTTGCTGCTATTTAACTTACTGAGCAGCTTTTCCAACAGGGAAAAGTAGCCTGTCACACCAGTACAAGTATGACATCCCATGTGACCATTAGATTTTTTGCTGCAAATAAGCCCACATACTGCTATGTTCCTATGTGCTGTGGGCTTAGGTGATGCTAATCCACTATTAAAAGGTACAATTTTTGTCAGTGAGAAGAATCTCTGGGGCCTAACAAAGTTTCTAAAGTCATCAGGGTAACATACCATTTTGTGTACCCTCTTTTTTTTGGTATTTAGTACAGGGTCTACAGGGTCTCACTACATAGATTTGACTCATAGTGATTCTCCTGTTTTCAGCCTCCCAAGCGCTGGGATTACAGCCCAGTCTCAATTTCTGTCTCAGTGTGCCCCAGGGGTGGGGCCCACACAGCAGGCCAGGGATTGAACCCTGGTCACTTGTGTGCCCTCTTAATACACAAGCCCAGCAACACATTGGGACACTGCCACTGGTCAAATCAGACTGCTTTTCCAATTTGTGTTTTTAACATGTTTTCACATAGAGAAATGCTAGACTCTGTTATTTGTTCCACTAAGTAGGTGCATTTTACATGATAAATGGAGCTTTTTTCCTATGTGTGGCTCTTACATGGTCTCTTTTCCTACATCTTCACAATTTTCATACACTGACAGCTCTATCATCATTCTTGGTGGCTTGAAAATTCACAAAAATGAACCACCTTCTAGCAAATTAAACTGAGAGCACTGTTTAAATATCTTGTCTAATTTTTTTTTTTTTTTTTTGGTGGAACTAGGGATTGCACTCAGACTCTTACACTTGCCAGGCAAGCACTTATTCTACTGAGCCATCTCCCTGGCCTCTTGTCTAATTTTAACAGACATGAAAAATCAAATGAGCAATAATACAATTGTAATGGGGTACTTTAACATGTCACTGTTACAAATAGATAGAACAACTAGGCAAAAAAAAGCAAAGAAGTAACAGAACTAAACAAAACTTGTGAAGAAATAGACTTAGTAGACCTTTACAGTGCTCCACCCAGCAAAGTCAGAATGTACATTCTTCTCAGCTGCACAGGGACATTCTCCAAAATAGACCATATACTAGCACACAAAGCATGTTTAAGTAAATGCAAAGGAACTGAAATTATCCCATGCATACTATCTGACCATAGCACAGTGAAACTGGAAATTATTAAAAAATTATTAAATACCATAAACACATGGAAATTAAATAACAACCTCCTGAACAACCAGTGGGTCACAAAAGAAATTAAACAATATTTACAATCAAATGAAAATGCAGATACAACATACTGCAACCTGTGGAATGCAATGAAAGCCATCTTAAGAGGGAAATTTATAGCAGTAAATTCACATGGTAGAAAAACAGAACAACTCCAAATAAACAATTTTATGCTACACCTCCAGGTCCTAGATAAAGAAGAGGAAGTCAAGCCAAAGGCCCAAAGAAGGCAGGAAATTACACGAAGAAAACAATACAAAGAATTAATGAATCAAAGAATTGGTTCTTTCAAAGAATAAGTAAAATTGACAAACCCCTAGCCAACCTTATCAAAAAATGAAAGAAAAAACTCACATTCATGCAATAAGAAATGAAAAGGGCGAAATCACTACACACCCTATAAAAATTCAGAAGATCATCAATGCCTACTTCCAAAATCTTTACTCTCACAGGATGGAAAACACAGGACAGTTTCCTAGATACATATGAACTGCCAAAATCAATTCTGAGTCTTCTGAGTCAAGAAGATATAAAAACTCTGAATAACCCAATAACAGGAAATGAAATTAAAAATGTAATAAAAAAGCCTACCAACAAAAGCCCAGATTCTGATGGATTCACAGCTGAATTCTACAAGAAACTGAGAAGATTTCATGCCAACTCTTATCAAACTCTTCAATAAAATCAAAAGGAAAGCAATTCTCCCAAACTCATTCCTGGAGGCAAGTGTTATTCTGATACCAAAATCAGATAAAGACCCAACCAAAAAAGAAAACCACAATCTCTCTAATGACCATAGATACAAAAGTCCTCAATAAAATACTAGCAAACAGAATGCAGCAAATCATCAAGAAGATTATATATCATGGCCAAGTGGGCCTCATCCCAGGAATGCAGAGATGGTTCAATATACACATATCCATAAATGTAATACACCAAATCAATAGAGCCAAAGACAAAAACCACCTGATTATTTCCATAGATGCAGAAAAAGCTTTTGACAAAGTCCAACACTCATTAATGATAAAAACCCTACAGAAAATCAGAATATATGATCTACATCTCAATTTGGTAAAAGCCATCAATGAGAAAGCAACAGCCAACATCATACTAAATGGGCAAAAACTGAAAGCCTTAACTTCAAAATCAGGAACTAGACAAGGATATCCACTGTCACTACTTCTATTCAATACAGTTCTGGAACCATTAGATACAGCAATTAGAAAAGAGAAAGAAAAGGAATAATGATTGGAGAGAAAGGTGTGAAATTATCATTTACAGATCACATGATACTTTACATGGACAACCCCCAAAACTCCACCAAGAGACTCAGAGATTTAATAACCAAATTTGTAAATGAAGCAGGATACAAAGTCAACACTCAAATATCTATAGCATTTTTGTATACGAATAATGAACATGCCAAGAGAGAAATTAGGGAAACCACACCTTTCACAATAATATCCACAAAAAATAAAATACTTAGGAATCAATCTCACAAAGGAAGTAAAAGATTTATACAGTGAAAATTATAGTACTTTGAGAAAAGAGATCAAAGAGGATTTTAGACAATGGAAAGATATTCCTTGCTCCTGGAAGGAAGAACCAATATTGTGAAAAAGGCCATACTCCCAAATTGTTAAACAAATTCAATGTAATCTGGATTAAAATGCCATTAGTATACTCCACAGATCTAGAGAAAACATTCCTAACATTCATTTGGAACCAGAAGAGACCCAAAATAGAAAAAGCAATCCTGGGCAACAAAGGAAAGGCAGGAGGCATCACAACCCCTGACCTGAAATTATACTATAAAGCTACTGTAATAAAATCAGCATGGTATGGATGTAAAAAAAGACCTGAGGATCAATTTAACATATTAGGAAATAGAGACACTACAAACACACTCAGTCACTTTATCTTTGACAAGGGGGCCAAACACATTTACTGGACGAAACATAGTCTCTTCAATAAATGGTGCTGGAGAAACTGGCTTTCTACATGCCAAAGACTAAAATTAGACCCATGTCTATCACCAGGCACTAAACTATACTCAAAATGGATCAAAGATTTAAATATCAAAACAGAAACATTTTTTTTAAACCCAAGAAACACTAAATCTCTTAGAGGAAAAGGTATGTAGAAATCTTGAAGACACAGGGATAGGTACAGAGTTCATGAACAAAAATCACACTGCATGGGAAATACTTCAAAGAATCAACAACTGGAACCTCATCTTTTTGAAAAGGTTGTGCACATCAAAAAAAAAAATCACTGAAAGTAAAAAGAAAACCCACAAACTGGGAAAAAATTAGTCAACTGGCACCCTGATAAAGGCCTTATATCTAGAACATATAAAGAATTAAAAAAAAAATCAAGCCTCTAAAATTCAAAAACCCAGTCCAAAAATGGGCATCTGAGATGAATATACATTTTGCAGAAGAAGAAATATAAATGGCAAATAAATATATGAAAAAAGGTTCAACATCATTGGTCATTCAAGAAATGCAAATTAAAACAACCCTGAAATTCCATCTCACCTCAGAAAGAATGACTATCATCAAGAAGTCAGCCAATAACAAATGCTGAGGGGCTGTGGGGAAAAAGGAATCCTTCTGGACCATTAGTGGGAGTGTAGACTGGTACAGCTACTATGAAAAATCAGTGTGGAGATTTCTCAAAAAACTAAGATTGGAGGTATCATTCAACTCAGCTATTCTCATGGGTATTTTTCCAGAAGAACTGAAATCACACCACAGCAATATATGTGCACCCATATTTAGAGCAGCGCAACTTGTCATAGCTAGATTTTGGAAACAACCCAAATGTCCATAAACTGAGGAAAAGATAAAGAAGATGTGGTATTTTTACACAATGGAGTATTATTCAGCTATAAAAAGGATAAATGTGAGGCTTCGAATTAGTAAATAGATGCAACTAGAGACCATCCTCTTAAGTGAAATAAATTAGACCCACATGTGCAAACATATTGTCTTCCTAGTGTAAGAACCTGAAAGAGTAAATAAAATCTGAAGAATACAATAGATACTGTGAAAAGGAAATCATTCTGTTCAAAAGGCAGGAATTACTGAGATGAGAGGAACAGGAGAGGTGGGGGAAGAGATATACCTATGTGTGTATGTAGGATGGCTTCAATAATTGTACTGTGGATTTCTGCTGGTCTATGGAAGGGAGCAATTAATGCTTAATTTTTTCTCTTCTTTTTTCTTTCTCCTTAATTTCTTTTTTTTTTTTTTTGCGGAACCAGGGATTGAACTCAGGCCCTTGCACTTGCCAGGGAAGTGCTTATTCCACTGAGCCATCTCCCTGGCCCTTCTCCTTAATTTTTTAGAACTTTTTTTCTTTTTTCTTTCTTTTTCCAATTCTATCTATCTATCTATCTATCTATCTATCTATCTATCTATCTGGTAATCTAAACAATTAAGTTGAAGACAACCCTATTCAACAAATACTGTCAAATTCACACTTGTTTAGTGAAATTCTTTATCATTTCTAACTTTTTTATTATTATTTTGCATTCTCTTTAAAAAATATTTTGTCTCTACAGTCCCATTTCCTGTATCTAATACTTCAGCTACTCTGCCCCATTAGTACTCTTTAATCTTTTACTACTTTATTTTTTTGCACAAAACTTGTCATACCTGAAAGTTATTTGTGTTCGTGTCATCTCCATAGGACTATAAGCTCCATGAGGACGGGGATAGTGTCTAAATTGTTTGGCATCCCGGAGCATAGAAGAATGTGTGGTCCAAAGATGCTTAGTACATTTTTGATCATTAACAATCAAATGACTGAACAGATTTAATAAATGAGTAAATACTGTTTCAAGAATTCTCTTCTTTCCATACTGAGTTTTTAAATGTGGGATCATTTGCCTGATTTTATTCTGCCCAGCTTTTCCATATGTGGTTTACTAGTGAGAAAATTGTTTGCTCAGTTAGGATTGGCGCTCACTGACATTGGGTGCCAGTCTGATTTCAGAGCGGTCTCTATTTGGTGGCAAAGGCACTCCAGTGGGAATCTGAATACATAAAGTTTCCAGGTGGGCCAAAGGTTATCTAACATTCCTGTCATCACTGGTCTGGCCTGGAGACTATGAGGTACCTTGTTAGGGGGTTCCAGAAAGCTGGTGGTGATAAACAGAGACATGGAGGGTACCCAAGGGAAATCAAAGAAAATCACATCAGCAGCAGGTCTTCGTGCCTAAGTTGATTGGTTTTTATAGTCCCAAGGTCTTATATTTTTTCATATAATAAGCATAATAAAGTAGAAATAGGAAGCCTGCCAGTAACTCTTAATACTGTCACATAAACATAATTATGTGTATATACACTATGCAATATGTCAAAGGGGGCTCGGCGCAAAAATAATTAGGAAAATATTAACCATACCTGTTATACATGAGGCGCTTGAAATCTTGAAATAAAGTATCTTTATTTTTGTCAATAAAACCAATGACAGAATAGCTAACAGAGGGAAAAAAATAGAAAACACATATTATTACCCACTCTAAGCTTTTCTAGGCCTCTATAAGCCCTTCCACTGTTAATTATGCAATCAATTACCTAAAGCTGGTATTGTCCACCCACTTCTGGGTTAAAGGACTCCCAGTTTACTAAGTAGAAAAGACTTTGTTTCTCTTCTTCAGAAGGAAAGCCAACAGCAGTCCTATCATTCTAAGGTAATTTTCTATATATTTTTGCTTACCTCAAGAATATGACTTTTTAAAAGATAGCTGTATTTATCACAGAGCTTTCCTAAGATAAAGGCAACACACAAAAACTTTTATCTGTGGGGAGGTCAGTGACTCACCTAAGTATCGTTCAGTGCTCAGGGAAGGATAAAAGAATCCAAGAACTGCAAAGGATGGTGAGAACTGGGTAAGCAGAGGAGAAAAAGGCAGGCAGACTATATGATGAAACACAGAATGAAAGGATGGAAGCAGGCACATGCAGAAGATCTGACAAGAAATGAGCCTAGAATTCAGGGCTGAAAGGGGTGAGGAAGGGGCTGAAAGTTCAGTTCAGAGGACACCCATGAGAAGAGTGAGTGTGGAGGCTGCAGTGCTGCAGGCACTGGCGTGGCTTCTAGGAGAAGCACACTCAATGCTGGGTAGAAGAAGACCTTGCAGTGGGGCTCAGAGGCTAGAGGTTGGGTAACTATTAACTGCACAGGCAGCCTGTGGATATACTTCTGCTCTCTTGCCTGTCTACATTTTCTTCCTGTGCAATCACATTGATACAGACAATTTCAGTTCTCTAGTCCTGACCTCTCTGACTCCTTGCCTTATATATTTAATTCAGCATTTTTTTTTTTTTTAAGACAGAGTTTTGCTATGTTGCGGAGGCTGGCCTCAAACTCACAGGGATTCTCCTGGCTCAGTCTCCCAAGTGCTAGGATTACAAGCATGTGCCACCATGGCTTGTAAGAAAATTCTTTTAGGCTATGCTGCTCACAGATGCTTGAAGGTCACTATGTCCACAATTATTTCCTTGATTGCCTCAAGCTAGGTCTTCTTACTACTAGCTTCCTGTCACTTTTCATTGAATTTTTAGGTCAGCTGACTCTTAACTCATTCAAACCTAAACAACTGAAAATTCAAGTCCTTAGTTTGGATTTTAAGACTGTGATCTGACCGCAATCTACTTTTCCAGGTATTTCTAATCTATACTATAAAATGCTAACTACAAATAAACCCAATTAAAGGGATTTCATTGCTACTTCCTAAATATTATTTAGCACCTTTCTCATTTCTTGTAATTCTCAGCATCCAAAGATGCATCATCCTCCCTGGGTTTACCAAAACATTTAAATGTATTGTATTGTTTTTGTACTCTGAATTCTGACAGCTCATGTTATTATTCATATTGGAATTATTTTTAGACCATCTTTTACTGTAGGAATATATATTTGCATGAAAATCTTTGCACGCAGCCACCATGTCATATAAAGTACTGTATACATGGAAGATAGTAAAAATCCAGAAAAAGACTGAAGGGCTTAGGAGAGAAAGAGAAGCCATAAGCACTGAATATCAGAGTTCTAGACAGGGAGTCTTGTTATATTATCTGAGTTCTATATGTGATGTTGAGTGAGGATTCTACTTCTCTAGCATGAGTTCATTCCTCTGTAAAATGAAGAGGCTGGACTTAGGGTCCTGAGGGTTTCTGTTCAGTTCTGCATTTGTGCTGTTGTGCATTATAAGACAGAGCTGTATAAAAGTAAGACTTGGATTTTCAGTGAGTATTTGCATGGTACTAGATACCCTCTCTTTGGTATTCCTGAACCTAGGAACAGGACCAGAGAAGCACACTCGTCCCACTCTAGCACTGATGGCTAGTTTGATAGCATAATGTGCATAATAATTTTAAGGCACATTATTTTATGATCCTAGAGTTTTATTTTATTATTTTTTAAATTTGTTCGGTACAGGGTCTCACTATGCAGCTCGGATTTGTAGTGATCCTCCTGTCTCAGGCTCTCCAGGGCTGGGATTACAGGTGTGCACTACCATGTCCAGTTTTGGGGCCAGCAGAGAGCGCTCAGGGTTCCAGGGCCAGCAGGGCATGCGGAACTGGGGATTGAACTGGGTCTTTGCACTTGTCAGGCAGGCACTTAGACTGTTGAGCTATCTCTCTGATCCTAGGGTTTTATTTTAAAATAAGGAATAGCTATTAAAAATCTTCAAATGTCTTTTCAGCATTTATAGAAATGATTGTTTGCTTTTTTTCCTTGTTTAACCTCTTCCTATAATGGGTTACATGGAAAGAATTTTTAATGTGAAAATAATGAAAAAGGAAAAGAGCACATCAGACAGTATGAAGAGCAGTGTTCAGTGAACAGAGAAAACATACAAAATTTAACAGGCTGAGAAGTGATCCCCTTCCTCAAACAAAAGATTCCCACATCATTCCCTAGAACCCATAAATATACACTTCTACAATAAAAGATGTGATTATACTTAGGATCTTGAGGAGGAGCTTGTCCTGGAGCACTCAGAGGGGATACTAAATGTGGTAAGTGTTCTTTTAAGATAAAGGGAAGGGACAGTTAACTGACACATGGAAGAGGAGGCAGCAGTGTGCCACAGAGACGGAGACTGGAGTGACGCAACCAGAAGCCAAGCAATGCCCACAGCCACCAAAAGCTGGAAAAGGGGTCATACTCTATGCTAGCAGCACCTCCAGAGGGGGTGTGGCCCCTGCCAGCCCCTTGATCTGGAACCTCTGGGCATCAAAACTGTTAAAGTACATGTTCTTGGTGTGTTAAGCCACTGACTTAGGATAATTTGTTACAGGAGCTCTTGGCATCTATGATATCAAGGTAGTTTTATTTTTATATCAATCTCTACTTCCACTGCAATCAGAAAATGTGTCTTGTAAGCATTTTATTGCTTCAAATACTTGAAAAATAATATAGTAAAACAGCTTCTGCTTATGCAGTTACCCAGCTCTCTTAGCTCTTCACACAAACGGGGTACTTGATACCCCTGAACCTTCTGCTACTCCTTCTTCTTGCAATGTATACAGTATGTGTTCAGTAAATGTTTAAAAAGCAAGGAATGAACTGAGCTATGCCATTTTTTTCACAAATGAAAAGACTGAAACACACTGGCATAGGAAATGACTGGAAAATGCAAATGAAAACAGCTAACAGCTTCCCTGGTTGCATTCTGTGAAGCAACGTTGCATGCAAATGTCAGCGCTAGGTAGCAAAGTAAGATACACCACATGCAAATGCCCATGCTAGGTAGTGAAGTAAGATACTCACACCACATCGCCTGCATAATGCCGGATTCGAAAATCTCGATCAAACTCCAGGATTTTGTCTGAGGCACAGAGCTAAGAAATCAAGAAGGAGAATATTTTGAAAAAAGACATTTTTACTTTTCTAAAAGTGTAGTCTATCCTAATACAGGATGATCCTAATGTCACAAATCACAACACCATGAATGAAATCACATAATGTGGGACTTGATTTAAATATCTGGCTTATATAGTAAAGACTGAGCTATAGTCAGAAATTCACATGGCTGGACCTCATTTGCAGGCTACACTTGCAGTTGACATGGCCCAGTGATCAAGTTCTGGACAGCGGAAGTGAAACATGGCTGTTCCAGGCCCAGGTGGGAGGAAGTGAGTGACCACACCAGCTGGATGCAGAGGGCAGTCCTTGGGGTCAGGTTTGCCAGACGTTGGAAGAAGTCTGGATCCCTGATTAGAGCAACAGACAGCTACTTCCTTCTGACACTTACATCTTGTTTACTTTCTTAATGCAGTCCAGCCTCCCCTCACGGACACAGTGTTTTTCTCCTCCTGGATATGAAGGATCACACTGAGGGCTTACTATCCACTAAGCACATATGTCTGAAGCAGCCCGCATAGTCTACACTGAAAGTATTACATTATGATCTTTCCCACACACGCATGGAGGCTGAAGCTCAAGGGGGCTAGGTCACTGGTGGTGAACCTTTTAGAGCTTTCAATGACAACGAACAGGTGGCTGTGGCACACATGCCTTAGGTTCACCACCACTGGGCGAGGTGATCGGTGTAAGATCGCACAGCTAGTAAGTGGCCGCCCTGGGAAGAACTCATGAAACTGAACATGATGTTTGTGCTCTTCTATGTACACAGTGGCTTGGCTCATCTGCCTGTGGGGGTGGGATTCCCATTCAGGTCGGCCTCTTCACAGAAGGTCAACCTTGTGAAGCTCTTCCTCACTACTCCTAGTTTATGAGAAGGCAGTTTCTGCATGGCCCTGGAGGTCTCTGTTACTTTCCACAATCTTCATTGTTATACCAGTCATTAGACTGTGTCAGCCCTGTGAAGGATTAATAGATAGCCTGTTGCCTCAAGCAGACATCTGCAAATCCACACAGCAACAAGTATGGTCACATACAAAAACCACTCAGACTCTAATGTTAGGTAACAAAAGTTCCAATCAGGATGGTGGGCTCTACGCTGACAATCAGACTGCTAAAGGAACAGTCTATCAATTTGACAAGTGGATAATTATAGGACATTAGAGAAGGCTTCTGAGGTTCAAACTTTGGCTCTACCATCTACTTGCTTTTTCCTCTAATAACACCTATCTCAGAGAGCTGTTATGAAGGTTAAATGAACTATGGAGATCAAAGCATATAATGTACAGAGGAATTACCACAATACATATTTTTTTCTTTTCTTCTAACTAACTCCTTTTATAAAATCCTTTTATTTATAAAACCCCTAAAGCAAAAAGACCCCAGGGAATATTTTTACATTTGGATACATGGCAAAATCTCAATTGATCTGAACACAGAAAGTTTTAGATTTTTCTTTACTTATTTTTTAAGAGGATATATTTTTCTCAATTTTTTATTTTAAAATATTTTATGATTTATTGGACCATTTATATGTTTCATGGTAACTTTAATGTGTAAGAAATTGTTTTGTTCCTAAATGTAAAAACTGTCATAAGCCAGAAACCCTTTTTAACACACCATTAAGCCTATAATTAATCAGTAAGCAGTAGCAAATGATAATACCTGGCTCAATAGACAGGCTAATGGCATTTATTTAACAAAAGGGTTCATAGTGATTAAAGTATCTTGATAGCCTAGTTAATTCATTTTTTCCCTTCACTGGGAACTCCGAGTATTTGTCCCATAGAAGCCAGAAGAAAGGGCCAATTGGTGTGAGAGTTGAGAAACCAGGGTTGCCATAATTATATATATATATATATATATATATATATATATATATCTACATTATTTTTTAGCACTTTCTATCAAATCAGTGTGGCAAATTCTTAAAAGTACTGCGGATAGCTGCTCTTAAGAACAAGACTATGCTTCAAAATATTCAGTAAACAAATCTAATTCAGGTATACAAATGGCTAAGGTGAAAGATACCACAAGATGGATATGATTTCTTATATGAGACTAATATCTACTTATTCAAATGAAGATTTAAATAATATTTATTTGATATATCTGTGAACAGCTCAATTTAACTTTACAAACATTGACTGAGTAGCTACCATTTGGTAGACACAATGCTGGATGAATCTCCAAAATGTGCACTGTGATTACATTGAGCATCTATAAAGTATTCCTCAAAGACAGGACACTTGCCTATGTGTTGTGCCATCTCTACATGCATCACTCTAAATTATTTAGGTCGCTGCTAACTTTGCACACTGCTCTGCCCCAGCACGAAGGACTATATCTGAAAATGAATGCCACCCATTAGATATCTGGGGTGTAAATTGGGAATGACTAAAGGAATACCTCTAATTCAGATCTCTTAAGTCAAAGATCTATCATATCTGCATGCCAAATTGTGACAGGTTACCAGTCAATTCTCAGTAGTAGATCAAAGACAGTATTTCATAAAAACTGGCCTGAAATAAATATTAGCTAGCAATCAGTTTTTTTAATGTTCTATGCTTCCTCTAGTTAACTGTGGAATTTCCATGTGCTGGTTATGTAATTTCAAAGGGGACACAGTTAGAAAATAGGTTAATTAATGTTAAAAAACCCCAGCACTGTAGTTATATATGAAGCGCTGGAGGAACAGAAATGTTTGCTCCTTTCCCTACAAACATGAAGGACTGGGGTCCTGTTTTCTCTTCAGCTTCTGCTTGCAAGACAAACCTGTATTTGTACAGCAGTCTGTGCCCCTTCTCAAAACAGGTTCTACACAAATATCAGTGATAATCACACTATATGCAAAGCCTGGCAAAAAGGTCTAAAAATCACAGTTGTCACCAATTATGACAGAAACACCGATTCTTTATGACATTTTTAAATTGCAAAAAACAGGGGATTAAAAGGCTACCTATTCACTGAAAGAATGAGTTACCCTCTAACAACCTCAATTACAATTAGAGTTTCTGTTTTTAGGAAGTCACACAATCTGAAGATTCACGGCAGAGCACACACTATATTGTGTATATGAGGATTACAGTAAAGTCAAGGACAAAAGCTCCTTTCTGTGCCAGAATACTCAGATGCAGGGGTAAAATTCTAGCACATGAACAAGGACTCTGCACCTATTGGCTGTAAATGACATCATGCTTTCTGAAGAATCATGTTCATTTTTCCCCTTTCAAGCACATGAGACAGTCTGGAGCTCCCTCTGCTGGACATTATGATTTTATCAGCCTTGTCACTTATAAACAACTCAGAACCACAGCAGTTAATCAATTAATGGATATTTATGGCTTCTCTTTTTATTAGAGTGGACATTCTTTTAACCAAGCACATGCAGTCATTTAACTCTGTCAAACAGTGAGAAAAATCTTACACATCTAAATTAGGAGGAAGGTCCTATTAAATACATTACCTTTCGGCTGGAAAAATGGCCATGTTTGCCCAATTTACTGTTTAGTGCTTCCAGGAACATTTCATCGGTGACTTTGCCAACATTCATGCAGGCGTCATCTAGGATTGCGATGATGCCCTTGTGCTGCTGTTCCACAAGGTCCACGATGATCTGGTTGTTGAAGTAATCAATCTGTAGGACACAAGTGAGCAATGTCCAAGAGAGCAGCAGTGCCATCTTCAAATGCATCACTCTAAATTATTTAGGCAACTCAAGGGGCCCCCATCCCTTGTTTGAAGAGCTTACGGAAAGCTACTAATGTCAAATATGTAACTAGCATTACTAAGGTCTAACACTAAAATGAACACACATTCTAATAGATGTCTATTTAACAATTCCTTCTTTTCTCTCTTCCTTTTCTTTTCTGTCTCTGTGTCTGCCTGCCTGCCTGCCTGCCTGCCTGTCGTTCATTCTTTCTGTGATGATAGGGATTGAAATTAGGACTTTCACACTTAGGATCTTCACACTGAGCTATTTTCTCTGCTTTTTATTTTTCATTTTGAGCCCATGTTTTGCTAAGCCTCTAAGTTGCTCAGGCTGGCTCAAACATGATCCTCGTGCCTCAGCCTCCCATTTAATTTCTTCCTTAACTTCACATTATGAGACAGCTTGTCAGAGATGTGGATAGCTCAAGTCATAAATTCTACAGTGGAAACATCTCTCCCCTTACCAACTCTTGTTTTATCCCTGTCCCCAGATCCCAACATAGCCCTACTCTTTCACACTCTCCCTCCCCCAACCTGTTTGCCATGAACCATAAGATCAGCTTCCATTAAGTGGCAACAAGTATCTTAATATATTATTTGACATTCTACCTGATAATGAAGTATTATACAGAACTTGCAGTTTTAATTATATGAGACTGAGTGATTAACAATGACAACAACAACAGCATTTCCTCCAGATTTTTTTTTTTTTTAGACAGGGTCTCCCTATGCAGCTCAGGCTGGCCTTGAGCTCACTTTGTAACCTAAGCTGATCTTGAACTTGCAACAATCCTCCAGCCTCAGCCTTCTGAATCACATCTAAATAACAAGTTTTTTTTTTTTTTTTTTTTTTTGAACCAGGGATAGAGCTCAGGACCTTGCACTTGCTAGGCAGGCCCTTAAGCTGATGAACTATCTCTCCAGCCCCAATAACAAGCTTTATAATGAAATTTGTTTTGAAAATTTGTTTCTGATTATATGGTATAGTATAAAACATATTCATTCTTAGATTCATTTGAACTTAACTGAATTTAATTACATTTTACACGTGCTATAAAATCTCATTGTTTAAAGAAAACTACAGGTAGTTCTTTTATAAAGTAAATGACAACTCTGGTTTATTTGTAAGTAGGTAAAATTTATGTTAGTATACTTTAAAGAAACTTTTTATGGTATTTTAGTGTTTAACACATGGGAAGGTGAAGATGCAGTTTGAAGCAAGAAAGGTACTCTACCATTTTAACTTTTTTTCTGAATGAAAGGAAACAAAAATAGGAAGGTAGGAAGGAATATAAAATTAATTTAAATATGCCATTTCACATAAGCCCTTTACTGCTATTACACTCGACACAGAAAAACAAATACTTTATTTTTATTGTGTAACTAGAGGATAAACAGTTTTATACTCAGAAAGTTATCAAAATTTGGAAATTAGCACTTTTCCAACCCATTCCTGAAACTGTTTTAAAATACATACAAACAAAATTACTTAGTCTTATTTCTCTTATGAGCTGAAGATTTAATTATAAGCAATAAGGAAGCCAAACAAGTCATTCATTTCAGTTGTGCTCCCTGGAGGTTGTTATGGACCTGCTGTTCTCTCTGACTATATCTAACCAAACTACTGGCCTCTGACAATTATAACAAGTTTAGAGAGCCATGAAAAGAGGGGTGATAACTAAAAGAAAATAATGCAAGCATCCCCATATGCAGGTTTCAGAGGATACGACTGTCACTAACTAAAGACAGTGAAATGTTATTTAGCTTAAAAAGTAAAAGAAGAAAAAAGGAAAGACAGGGAGTTAAAACAAGATATGGAACCAAATTTCTATAAATTTAAGATAAAAACAACTTATGAGATTTGATAAAAATATACAGTGGGCTGGGCAGGTACAGTACCTGCCTAGCAAATGCAAGGTCCTCAGTTTGATTCCCAGTACCAAATATATATACAGGGAATGTTTAAGTTTTAAAGATATGTTATAGTAAAAAGACATATTACATTAGTTCTTCTCAAAATAATGCCCCTTGCTTTGACCTACTCATCTCATCATTCTTACCACTTTCTGAAGCAGTTCTGAAAGTCCTCCTTGATGTCTTTAGGGGATATGATAAAGACTACTGTTCAGGAAACACAGTTGCCAAGTGTCATTCAACAGAAAGGCTAGCTCATCAAAGCATGACAATATGTGCTCATCTACCTTATTCACTGGCTCTAGCACCACGTGGCTCCTGTATCTTCCCCAAAGACCATGAGAAATAAACTTTGAATTGATCTAGCCATGACAGTGCAACTAAAGAGATTCATGAAAGAAAACTTTTAGAACCACTTCAGAAAATGGTAAGAACAATGGGAGAAGTGTGTTCAAAGTGAGCGGAGCTTCTTGATGGATTAAAGGCCATGTGTCTTTTATTATAATTTTTTTTTTTTTGTAGTACCCTAGATTGAACTCAGAATCCTGCACTTACCCGGGATGTGCTTATTCTGTTGAGTTATCTCCCCGGCTCCAATAATTTTCTTAAAAAATCATTTAAAAATTTTCCACTGTATAGTTAGGTCATAGCTCATATAGATGCTGCTAAATTCAAGTAGACACATATGAACCAAGAAGTGCATATGTTGCCAAGCCATATAATGACAAGATTAAATTTACTGGCTGTAACTTTGCATGTTCTGAGCACTAGTGAGTCTATCACATTGGAGAAATCCATCAACATCCATGAAAATGAACTGGATTCACATATCCCCAAAATGGAAACTAAGTTCAGATGTTTCTAGTACCCAAAGAGATCATGAAGGACAAGCTCAATAATGTTAGCGGCAGCACCTTAGCCACAGGAGACATTTTCCACCACCACTCACGTGCTTCCATGGGATGCCCTCCCGCTGGTACTCCTCTTGTTCCTGCTTCAGGACCAGCTGAATGAACAGCTGCTGCAGTTTCTCATTGCAGTAGTTGATGCAGAACTGTTCAAAGCTATAGGAAAAGGGATAAATTAAGTTTAAACCAATGAACAAAAAACCCTAAAAGGCATTAAGTATCTTAACCAATTTACCTATTGTTGTCGAAGATTTCAAAGCCGTAAATATCCAAGACACCGATCACAGTGTTTTTCCCATGGATTGTGGTGTCATAGTTCTTGACCTCTATCACATCATTGATGCGAGTGACAATCCAACAAAAAAGGCGCTCATATATTGCCTGTGAGGAAAATAACATCATAACTGCCTGCTCACTTGAAAAAAAGAGGCCTTTATTTGGATTTGGGATGCCTTAAATTCTTGTCTACCATCTCCTTACTATTTAGTACAAAAGGTTTGAATTTTTTTTTTTTTTAGTGATGGGATGGAACCTAGAGCCTCACTCATGCTGGGCAAGCCCTCTACCACTAAGTTACCTCCCCAGTCCTTTTACAATATTTTATTTTGTGACAAGGTCCTGCTAAGTTGCCTAAACTGGGCTTATACTTGCCATCCTTCTACCTACATCTCCCAAGTAGCTTACAGATATAAACCACCATGTCTGGGCAGTAATTTGGATTTTTAAAAGACTTTCAATTATTACATATATCCCAAGTACCTTCCCCAGGCATGTTTCCATGCCCCATTATGATGCTGATATGCTTATTTCCTTGTATAAGCCATTTAATTGTTTCATTATTAATTTCATCAACTCTAAAAAGTTGGAGACTGAATTCATGCTTAAACTCTGAGTTCTAAAAATAGAAATATTGATTTCTAATCCTGAATAACAGGCTGAGCCTTATATAAAGCCCACGGTTTGAAATTCTCTGAGAATTAAGCACACTTCCACCACCCAAGAACATGCATTCTAAGCTGCCACACATGGCGCACACATGTCCTGATACAACATGCTCCATAAAGTTACATCTTTAGAAAGCCCTTCTAAACACTCCCACAACACCCACTCTCTGCTCCTGTCTTCACCACCCTTTTATCCTCCAACCCTCTCCAGTCTTCACTTACGTCCTATTACTTCACTGACATGATGTACCAAGGACACCAACTACCTTTGTACATACTTTCTTGTAGTACATGGACCTCTTAGCTTCTCCAAGTCACTCAACCTATTTTTCTGTTCACAAAATTCTTTGCATTTTGAGATTCATAATACTCTCCTTTCTTAATCTACTTTGTTTTATCAGTCGACCTGTTGGGTGAACTTGATAGGGGCTTCTTTACCTGGCCTATAAAAACTGGAGTTCTTTCTGATTCTCTTTCACTCTCTAACACCTTCTGAGTTATCTCCCCACTGTTCCATAAGACTGATATAATCTGACCCCCCAAAATGTTATCATAACCTAGACCCAACTCTCTGGGCTCTGAATTTAGGGTTTGACTCTGTATCTCACAATGATTTGTAGATGTCTCACACCTACTTCAAACTCATGTCCTTTTAGGACTGTTAACTTTTTCACCTCTAAAAAATGTTATTATCTTACTTTGAGCCTCAAATAAATTGCAAAAGATGCTTAGGAACTCATTCATTCATTAACTACTTGCTGAGGATTTACTATGTACAGTTTGTTGGAGATATAATACTAAGTGAAAACAATCTCAATCTCCAGAAGACCTATGAGCAGAGTGAAGGAAAAAGATCATATATACATACATTCTTTCATATTTATACATGCTAAAGAAATGTAGCAGAGGTTAAATCTAATCTATTCAGTGTAGTGCAGCAAGGGAAAAGATTCTTATAGAAACTGATACTTGGACTGAGGTCAGCAGAACAAGTAGTGGTCATGCAAGAGGGAGAGAAGACTAACCCATGAAGGGGAAATAGCGTGTGCAAAGGTGCCGTAGCTGAGAGGAGAAAGGAATAAAAGTGAGGCTTCAGAGAAGACTAATTGCCGGAATAAAGAAGGTGCCTGGAAAAGAGTATGAAAGGAGGTAAGAGATGCAGGTTGGAGGCAGACCATGCTAAGGTAACATCTGTGAGTCCCTCATTCTCATGGTTGATCAGATTTGCTTTTCTGGCAGTAACATTCACAGTTAGGGCCTGTGATATTCAGAAAGCCTCATCATACAGTGGTACCTCAGTACACAAACTAGGTTCTTTCTATAATTCTGGTCATGAACCAAATTGGTCAGAAAACAATTTTTTTTTTTAAAGAAACCAAATTAATTTCAATGGTTAGGTTCAATGTTAACCTATGCAGGAGTTTGATTATGTTCAAGTGGATTTGCAATGAGAAGGTTTTTTTTTTTTTTTTTTTTGCGGAAACAGGGATTGAACTCAAGCCCTTGTGCTTGCCAGGCAAGCACTTATTCTACTGAGCCATCTCCCCGGCCCCCAGATTTGCAATGAGAATCATGCAAAGAATTAAGTTTGTAAACTGAGGTACCACTATAGTTTCTAAAAGCCTCAGGCTGCTGGGGATGAGAAAAAGAACACAAGAAGTGCTAGGTTTTTGAATGCTGCCATATATAGTGTCACTAGAACTATATTTAAATTGACAAATATATTCTTTTTTTTTGACACAAACAAGCAAAATTATCTTTATTTGCAGACAGCATGATATCTGACATAAACAATCCTAACAGGTCCATAAAAAGGAAGTATTAGGATCAATAAATGAGTTTAGCAAGGTTTCAGGGGATGAGTTCAACACAAAAGCACCAACTGTATTTGAATGGATATACTGAACATGCTTTTTTAAAAGACAATTCCAGACAAATATATTCTTGACACAAAGCTTCATAAGCTCATTGGACATGGGGTATTCTGGTTTTTGATACAGGGAAATTTAAAATTTGCAAGGGATGTCTGGATACCTCTCACAGGTGTTTGCTCGTGCTACAGCCGAGATCCACTGCAGGCCCATAGCACTTAACTAAAATCTTACCTTGGCAAAGGCATCTCTGCCGTAGCTAGCTTCTTGTTCTGTGTGCTGCTTGTCGATAATGTCACGGCCGGTGGCCACGGTCCGGAAAAGAAGGGCTTTCTCCACCATGTCTGTCTTAGTAGAAAGAAGTTCTGCTATGATGGATACCACCTTGCTATTCTCAATAAGAGGCGTGTCACCATCCACTACAAATTTTAAATTTCCCTGTATACAAAAACCAAAACATACCATGTCCAATGAGGCTCTGAAATTTTATGTCAAAAATATATTTGTCAATTTAAACATAATTCTAGTGACACATGCACGGCAACATTCAAAAACCTAGCTCTTCGTGTGTTCTCTTTCTCTTCTATGGGCACTTCTGTCTTTTGATTTTCAGTATCTGTTTTGATAATAGTTCTACATTTTTATGCAATCAAATCTATGAATGGGGGCTAGGGAGATAGCTCAACAGTCTAAGCACCTGCCTGGCAAGCACAAGGATCCAAGTTCGATCCCCAATACCACATGTTGTGCCTGCCCTGGGCACTGAGCTGGCCACTGAAACTGGGTATGGTAGCACATGCCTATAATCCCAGTGCTGAGGAGGCTGAGACAGGAGGATCACTACAAGTGTGAGCTTTGTAGCGAGAACCCGTACCAAATAAATAAGTAATTAATTAATTAAAAGGAAATCTATGAATAAGTTTTCTTTGTTTTGTGTCATACTTAGACCATTTCTACTGCAAAGGTTTAATGAGTTATTTTCTTTCAATATTACAATAGTTTTTTCTTATTCCTTTAAATTGTTAATCTACTCTATTTATTTTGGTGCATGCTCTAATGTAAGAACCTAACAATTTTTTCACATGGTCAGCGCTTCGGCAACATCTATTGAATTGCTAGCATTTCATCTTGATTTGCAATGGCACTATTTATATATCTCATCTTTTCATATTAAGAGTCTGAGTCTATTTATATTTTACTCAATAAACAATACTTAATAACCAACTACCAAATGTCAAGTATATCAAATAGTCTGCTGATTAACTTGACCTGATGATGAATTTGTGCAACAAGCTTTAAAGTTTTATAGATTTTACTATCATTTTAATTTTATTTTTTATCTTTTGGCGGAACCGGTGATTGAACTCAGGCCCTTGCACTTGCCAGGGAAGTGCTTATTCCACTGAACCATCTCCCTGGCCCCTTTACTATCATTTTAAATTTAGAATTAGGTGTGTCTCCCCCTTCTTTCACCAATCTATTCTTCTTTAACACACTGTTATTTGATCTGACAGGATTACTGTTTCTCATGCTAAAATAATGAGGCTAAGTAAAAACAAAATAAAATTCACACTTGATTAAACTAATTTGAAGACACAAGACAAATTAAAATATATAAGTCTTCTTAGTCAGAATGTTTATTTGTTGCATATATTGCTACATAATAATTTCAAGATTGATACATCTCTGATTCAGAGTTAAATCTTGCTATATAAAAATGAAGGGAATTTTTGTCCAGATTTGAGTTCAGGTTGACACAGTAAGGTTGTATGCTCACAAAATTTCGAACATCTCTAATTACAGTAAGGATTTCAAAAGAGCTGCAGCACACAGTTGCCTCCCTTTATTTATTTATTTTTATGAATTTTACTTAGAAACAAATAGCAATGAGACAGTTTCAAAACCGACTAGTAGGACAGTTTAAATAATTAATACACTGCATATTGTCTTCGTAGTGGTTATTCATAGTACAAGATGTAGACATGATATCCTGTCCAAATATTATTAGTACAAATCTTTCTTCTCATTGAATTAAGAGAAAGTAGCTGTATATCTATACTATTTTGTATATACAGTTACAAAATGGTCCTTCATTTATATCCCCTTTTTTTGTTTAGTTTTGTCAGATATGGGTATTCCACTGCCATTTAAATATTGTAGGTGCATGAATTCAGCAAAGTAATCCAATATAGTCCAGTAGTCCATAATAGTAGTGGGTTATCCACAGGACTGGCAATGTCAGAAGTTGTTGACTTGAGCCTTTTATAGCTCAGCATATTAATATGGCTTTACTTTTTAATACCTTGTTTTTATACTGACCTTGTCAGGTAGAAAAGCTACATTTCTTGTTATATAGGTCTTGCTTTATCTTGGTCTTAACCATCCTGCCTCCCTTCTTTGAAGTCTAAGGTCTGAGTACTGACCACTATGCAGTGCTGCGCTACAGCAAGCTGGCTGCACCACTGAGGCAGCCGTGCTACGCTTTGGGGCTCATTTCTGAACCTGAGAGATGAGATGATCAAAAAGCAGCTCTAATTAGCCACAGTTCTGTGTTTCAAATGCCATTAGAAATTCATTTCTTTAGTAGTCACATCACTTCTGAGTTATTTTCTCCTTGAAATGAACCAGTTTAAGGTTTGACAATATGAGTGGGACCATGAACTCAAAGCAAAGTCCCAAAACTTTTATGGCTAGGAAGCCCCCCAAATAATGGAGAGCCACAGACTGATTTCTTTAAAATCTGAGCAAGGTTTTCTTTAAATAAAGTGCTTTTTAAAATCTACAGGGAATAAAACCAAACTCTTCTGAGGAGCATTCTGCTTCCCTAGGAAGAAAATATACTCTGAGAGGCATCCCTACTCACCAAGTGAAGAATAGCAGCCAAAATTTTATATACTGTTTGAATCTCCTCAGGTTTGAAGCCAATTACTTTCATGGCATCAGCTACTACTTTGAATTCTGCAGCATCATTGATAGATGACTAGAAATAAAAACAGAACACTAAGTCACTGATATTTCACATGAGCACCCAACAATTATCAAACTAAATTCAAGTTTAACCAAGATCTTGATGATTTTGTCATAAATCACTTGAGGGGATTATGGGTATCCAGAGAAAATAAAAATGATTTCAAGGGCAGAAGCACCAGGCAGCACATACACAGCCCACTTGTGCATGGCAGCCATCACCCAAAACAGGCGCTGTGCACTTTTCTGGAAGCTGCTGTCCTGAGTTGGCTTAGAGAAGCTGACCGTACAGCTCCACAGTCTGCAAAGGTAATGGCATGGGATGAGATCTGAAAGGGCAATACTGAATGGGAGAACTTCCAAAATGTATGGCTGGTTATTATCATCTGTGGCTTTATTTCACAATTCATCTTGTGTAGGCTGGCAACGTGTCTCCCTCTATTGTATAACTGAGCTGCTTATTTCCCAGGTGAGGAAAAGCAGACTTCTGAGAGCACAGAGGCCAACTGTAGACATTCAACAAGCTATTCAACAGTCTGGAACTACATACTTGCTAAGAATTTGGTAAGTCAGATTACTCTGGTTCAGTGATATTAAAAGATGAATAACCCGGCCTTAAGGAGCTGTGGTCATCAGGTTGAAAATATAAATCTATAAACAGAAATTCATAGCAAAGCAATGGTAACTGCTTATGTTACAAGTTTTTCGAAAGTGGTAGCTACAGAATAATTATTTTCTCAGGGAGTTTCCCCTCTTGTCTGAAAAAGAAAAGGGTGAGATTACAGATAATTATCTTTTGCTTTTCCATATTTTTAACTGTTCTATAATAAAAAAGATGTATTACTTTTTTAGTTGAGTGAAAAATACAAGAAATTCTAAAAGAAAAAGATCTAAGATGTGAGAAGCATTTATTTTAAAAAATTTTTATATTCAGATTATGCTCATTATATCTTCATTACTAGATTAGTTATATTTTTATTGCTATCCACAAAAGTAAATGTTAAGATTTTTACGATTAATTTTCCATTATTTGGCTTTAATTTACACAACTTTTTATAGTCACCTAAGAGCAGAAACATCTGTTTGAAAATTAATTGAAAATGAAATAAGACACTTCTTCACCTTCTGAGAATTGCCAAAGGTAAAGAAGTACAGAGTATTATAAAATCAACACTTTTAAGAAGTACATGACTAATGATATTCCTTTTTCAGTCAGACTGTCATATTAACTAAATTACTTTTGACCAAGTCATGTTGAATTCCCATAGAAAGTATTAACATCAGCCTTTTTTTTTCTCAAGTTAAATTCAACTTAGGTTTTCTTTTCATTGAAGTTTTCTGTTCCTACTTCATTTTTTTTTCTTTCTCTCTAACAAAAACAAAGAATACATGATCATAATCAAAACATAACATACAGTTGAACCCAAAGGAAAAATATGCTGCAATCTTACCAGACAGAGATGATCATTAATAATACTTCATGTATATATTTTTAAGCAAAAGCATTTGGCAAATCTTGATTGAATAAACCTGCTTTTATTATATTACAACATATCATCTTTCCACGAAAATACAGATTCTATAATAATTTTAACAACTACAAAGTACTGCATTATATATGTTGAAAAATGAAGATTTTCAATGTAACTTTTTATTGTTGTTGTCTTTTTGACTCAGTATCTCACTGGGCAGTTCAGGCTGGCCTTGAGCTCACTTTGTAGCCCAGGCTGGTCTCGAACTCACAACAATCCTCCTGCCTCAGCCTTCCAAGAATGCTGGGATTACAGGCATGCACCACCACACCTGGCTCATCCTTTCTTAATAAGCAATTAAAATTGTGATCTATGAGTCAGACTAATGGTACATGCTAGTAATCCTATCTTTGAGGGCAGCTGAGGTAGAAGGATCACAATTTTGAGCCCCACAACGGCAACTTAGTGAGACCTTATCTCAAATTAAAAAGAAAGAAAGAAAGAAACAAACAAACAAAAAGCTGGAATGTAGCTCAATGGCAGGGCACTCCTGGGCTTGACTGCCAGTATCCAAACCAAAACTAAAACAAAAAAGTTGTGATCTATGTCCTCCATCTCTTATTCTATGCACTTACGTACCCTCCCTGCTACAAATAGGATAATGTAATTACTATTTTAGAATCAGTATGAACAAGCTAATGTATTATTAGTGTTATCTGTAAAACAACAAAACAGAAAACTAACTGTAAATAAAAAAGCAAAACTGTGCCTGCTTATGGAGGACTTACATGCAAAGGAAAAAGAAAATGAGTAATTCTGAGAGCTGAGAATACATGGAAATGATTCAAGGGTCAAAAACTTATTTCTAGAATATATCAAAATCACTATTAAAAAAACCCCAATGAATGGAGAATTAAAGTGCTTTTAATTCAATTGTGTCTTAACAACTTGCCTTTGGCTAAATCATGAAATCTTAGGAGGCAGATTTCCTAGTTCTGCTAATATATTTATAGAGTCAAATGAAATAGGATTAAAAATTAAGAAAACACTGAATACAGAAAGAAATTTCTATATTCAGATGTTAGATGGTGATAAAATGTAGCAACAGATTATTAAGCAAAGTTGTCAATTCAATAATGTACTGAATTTTTATGTCTGAGAATGTTAAAAATAGAGAAGAGGCATTTACCTAAAGGTAGGAGGCTCAGTTAGATAAATATTCAATGTCCTTTCTGATCTTTCTCTGATTCTACATCTGAAATATATCAAAGAGGAAATTCTCACCTTTAATTGAGCTCCGGCATGGATATAGTTGTAGGATGAAAGGGATTTCTGGAGATGTAGAGAACGTAGTATCTGCTCTGAGCCTCCTTGGAGTAGCTAAAAAACATTTAATTGGAAATAAATTGATGGAATATAAACTGAAATCAAATATATCAAATATTCTAACAGCGGTAGTCTAGCTTTTGCTCATTTTTTGGTCTTAATTCATTTAGGTCTATTTTTAGCTTTGAAATCTGTGTGTGTTAAGGTTTTTGTCTAGATGTCCCCTCAAAGCCTCATGTAGTTATGGGCGTGGGCTTCTAGTATTTATAGTTGATTCATGGTCCACTGCTGGGATTATGGGTACGAGTGCTATACCCACCCTGGGGAGGGTAGCTTGCAAACAATGTAAGGGAGGGAAAGAGGCTTGCTTTAGTTCCTCCACTTCTGCTGCTGTTGCTTTTGCTGTTTTCCATTGCCATGAAGTACTGCATTCAGCAATGTGCCACTCTGCCTTGGAGCCAGCCCAGTAAAGACTAAAATCCCCACAAAATGTGACCTTTGCTTCCTTAATTCTGGGCATCAGGTATTTTGTCTTAGCAATGAGAAAAGTAAGCAAGATAGAGAGACAGAGACGAAGACAGAGAGAGACAGAGAGACAGCCAGAGAGACACAGAGATAGAGACAGAAAGACAGCCAGAGAGAGAAAGAGAGAGAGAGAGAGAGAGAGAGAGAGAGAGAGAGAGAGAGAGAGAGAGTTAGTTTTAACCTGGGTAAATGGCTTCGGTGCCATCAATTATGTGGAATGTTGTTACACAGTCACGCAGGTTAAAAACTGATTCTCAGCTCAGGAACAGATGTAATTAGCGTGAAAAGTTCTTACTTTGAATATGGTCGTATGCAAAAGGGACCCCTTGCCCTGAGGTGGCCACTTGCACAGCAGTCTCATTCAGGAGAGGCTAATGCCATGTGCTAGAATTTAGAACACGTCAATATGGCCATGGAAGTAAGAGGCATCAGTAGACAGTGATGAGTCACATGTATGCTGAAGAAGCCTTTCCTCATCAGCTGTGTACCTCAGGGAAGGAGGGCACCTGGGAGCCATGATACCAGTGTTGGGTCACCATGTGAGAAAGCCACAGGTGAAACTTGTGCATTCTTAAAATATAACAACTCTGTCATACTGGGTAGAAAGTTTATTCAAAGCATGGCAAGTTGTCAACAAAAACACAAATACAAAACTGACATCGCTTTTATACAGAAAGTGTCTTTGGAAGGCACTGTGTTCAAATTATATTAAGCTGTACACTTTGGCGTACTTAAAAAGATATAATCATTAGATTTTTTTAAAATTAAAATTTTAAACAAATATACCAGAACTTTTATATTCAAATGAGTGGTGTCCACCAAAGCAGTTACCTAGCTGAACTCGACATTGTATTCAGTTGTACCATAACCATTCAATCACCTTCAAAGACAGTTTTTGTCTTTTTTTTCTTTTTGTATTTTTTTAGGGAAGGATCTACAAGGGTGTTCAGGGTCTCACTACTAGATTAGACTCGTAGTGATCCGCCTGTTTACAGCCTTGCAAGAGCTGGGATTACAGGTGCACGACACCACGCCCAGTCTCTATCCCCATCTCAGTGTACCCCGTGGGTGGGGCTGGCACAGCAGGCCCTTTAATCTGCTGAGCTATTTGGCAGGCCCTGACAATTTTCTCAAGTTTATAAATACTGTTGTAGTTGCTGTTGTTTTTATAAAGGTAACCATAATGCTTTAATAGTTTCTGAGGACAAATTAAACTGAATTTGTATTCTCATCTCTGGGGCTCCCGAATATCAGAACAAAAACTTCAATTCAAAATAAAATAACATAGACCCAGTCCGAGCCCAGGTCCGGAATTTCTGCCGAGTTCCGGGAACCCCCAGACCCAGTCCTAGCCCAGGTCCGCAGCAGGAAGGAGCTGAGCACAGCAGCCAGACCTAAGCCAGACGCAGCTGGATAA